ACGATGGCTCCCATCCACCCAGTTCAGAGCCACGCTGGCTCCCATCCCCCCAGTTCAGAGCCACGTTTGGTGCTTGATGATTTTTATGTTGTCTTATTATCAGATATCTTTGAGTGGATCCGACAGACGTAGAACAGAGAATTCCCTCACCTGTTAACACTCTAGTAAACTGTCACTTTAACTCAGGGGTCTGTAATGTGTGGCTCATGGGCCACATTTGGCTGTTTGATCCCTCGGCCGAGGACGTTGGTAATTTTGTCTATAAATAACAGAAATAAATTATTTTTACATGACATTTTTAATCAAATGACAATGTGAAAAGCTAATGTATGCTTTTAAAAAATAAAACCTTGGTGAAAGTCTGAACTTCACAAAGCAAGAAACAAAATGTGCTGTTTATTAACCACTTTACTTTGTATTTACTGTAGTCACCTGTGACTATTGTCCATCAGAAGCATTTTTAATGATGAAGTCAAGATCTAGTAGTAAAACCCAAGCTTACTAGAAATGTTATATTAACATAAAGTTAAAGTAAAGTGGGGAAGTGGGTTTGTGGACAGTAGTCCCTCGCTACTTCATGGTTCGATTTTCCCAGATTCAACATATAGCGGGTTTTCAAAATAAGACTGGATATGACACAATTGGGGGCAGCACGGTGGTGCAACTGGTAGAGCGGCTGCATCTCAGCAAGAAGGTTGTCGGTTCAAATCCCGGTCTGGGGTCCTTTCTGGGTGAAGTTTGCATGTTCTCCACGTTCATGCGTGGGTTTTCTCCTCCCACAGACCAAAAACATGCATGTTAGACTGATTGGTAACTCTAAATTGTCTCTAGGTGAGAGGGAGAATGGTTGTTTGTCTCGTTTGTCTCTATGTGTCCCTGTGATGGACTGGAGACCTGTCCAGGGTGTCCCCCGCCCCTCACACAGTGATTGCTGGACATGAGCACCGGCAACTCCCGTGACCCAAAATGGAAGAAGCAGATAAAGATAATGGATGGATGGATGGATGGATGGATGGATGGATGGATGACATTATTGGCTGACTGATGGATGAGCTATAGATTGTTTATTTAAAATATTACAGTATTTAAATTTAAATTGTTTATTTATGGAGGGAGATTGGGAGTAACAGGTGATGAGTGTGATTACAGCCTGACACATGTCATGACAAAGTTTAATGAACTTGGACTTAAACTACTGTCTCACTACTTCAGGGTTTTTCACTTATTGCAGGTGGACGTGGTCCTTAACACCCACAATAAATGAGAGACTACTGCTTTATATATACTGTGTGTGTGTGTGTATATACATATATATATATATATATATATATATATGTATATATATACATATATATATATATATATGTATATGTATATATATATGCATATATGCATGCATGAAAATAGGCAAAAGTGGCCCTTAGTGTTGTAAAGGTCATAGATGCTGGCCTTAACACCATAATATTTTTACATTCCAATAAATAACTATAATTGCAAAAGGACTGAAAAGAGAATTAAAACTTTAAACCCAGAGCAAAACTGGAAAAATACATCACATGGAGTGTATTTAAAAAGTTTTGTGAGTGAAAATAGATGACTGAATAGTTATTTCTAGGACTGAAAGACATGAAAAAGTCTAATTTTACCATCCCAAATCAGAAAAAGTTGGAATGTTGTTTAAAATGTTCATAAAAACAAAATGCAATGATATGCAAATTCATAAACTCATATATTCTTCACAATGACACAAAACAAATCAAAAGTTTAAACTAAGAAGTTTTACATAAAAAATGAGGTCATTTTGAATATGACGGCAGCAACACATCCCAAAAATGTTGGAACGGGACCATGTTTCCCTCCGTCAAACATCTTCTTCTTTTGTTGTAAGCATGCAGGAAGTGGAGACCAGCTGCTGGAGCTTTTGGAGGGAATGTTGTCCCATTCAATCCAATTTCACTTGGGTTTATCATACAGCACAGAGTCACAGCAGAAGTTATCTCAGGGCACTGTACAGAAACATTCATATACACTACATGCCAATTAGAAAAGTTTTCCACCTAAGGAATAACGGAAGCCAGCAGATTGCGTCATTCTTTGATCGATTCCAGCTGTTCAACGGTCCTGGGTGTTTTTGTGCTGGGTGGTGGTATACGCTGTATTAAAACTTATATACTGTGTACTTTTATGCATTGATGGTGTCTTTCCAAATGTGGAAGCTGCCCATGTCAAGAGACACTAGTGCACCCCCATACCATCAGAGAGGCTGGCTGTTAATCTGTATGCTGATAACAGGCAGGATGGCCCGTCTCCTCTTTATTACATAGAACATGGGGCTTGTGTCCCCCCACCCATAAAAAAAAAGGTAATTTTTCCATTTAATTTGACCAAATAGTTTCCCTCTTGTCTCAGCTAATTAAAAAAAAGTTGGACAGAGAAGAAAGTGGCATTTTTGGTTTGTGTTCACATAGCTTCTTTTTGAGCGATAGAGCTTCACCCATCACTTTTGGATGGAACTGTGTCTGGAACAGAATCAGACCTGTTTTTATTGCATTGGGCTCTGAAGGCTGGAAGTTCTTGAGGATCCAGTACTGACTTTCAGTCTTGTCCTTTCTACAGAGACTTGAAACCTTTTGATGACATTATAAACTGTAGATAATGAGTTATTCAAAGTCTACCTACTATTTATGATAGAACAATGGCATGAAATTGTTCCAGTATTTTTAAACATTTGCTTGCTCATCTTTACTTCTGAGAGATTCTGTCTCAAAAATTCATTTTTTTTTTTTTTTTACAACCAGTCCTCTTTCAGAACTGTTGCTTGTTCAGATTCAGATTCAGATTCAGATTCAGATTCAGATTCAGATTCAGTTTATTATTGCTGTTGTCAATGAACAGGATCCACAGACTTGGAACTTGCTTCAGCATAAAGGTGCGAATAAAATATAAAATATAAACAGAGGGGCTGTGGCTTTCCTGAAATGCACAATCATCTCCACTGTCTTCTGGGCATTAAGCTCCAGGTTGTTGTCGCTGCACCAGGTCACCAGCTGGTCCACCTCCCTCCTGTAGGCAGACTCACCACCATCCGAGATGAGCCCAATGAGGGTGGTGTCGTCTGCAAACTTAATAAGTTTTACGGAATCATGGCTGGAGGTGCAACAGTTGGTGTACAGGGAGAAGAGCAGAGGGGAAAGTACACAGCCCTGTGGAGATTCTGTGCTTAAAGTCCAAGTGTCCGAGACAGCTCTCACCAGCCGCACGCACTGACTCCGGTCTGTCAGGAAGTCTGTGATCCGCCTGCAGGTGGAGTCAGGTACATGGAGCAGAGAGAGCTTGTCTTGGAGCAGAGTGGGAAGATGGTGTTAAATGCAGAGCTGAAGTCCACAAACAGGATCCTAGCGTAGATTCCTGGGGAGTCCAGAAACTGCAGGGTGAAGTGGAGGGCCAAGTTTTAGCATCATCTACAGACTGTTTGCTCTGTAGGCAAACAGCAGAGGGTCCAGAAAGCAGCTGCTGGTGGACTTGAGGTGGGATAAAACCAGACGTTCAGAAATGTTCATGAATACAGACAAAGGAGCCACAGGCCTGTAGTCATTTAGTCCTGTGACACGTGGCTTCTTGGGGACAAGGACGATGATGAAGGTCTTGAAACAGGCTGGAACATGGCATGATTCCAGAGAAGAGTTGAAGATTTCTGTGAAGACTGAGGCCAACTCATTAGCACAGTGTCTCCGGGTGGAGGGGGACACATATGCCCATTTTCCATTAGTAACGGTACAGCCCGACTGGACTCAACTCAGCCCGGTTCCAAGGCTTTTCCATTAGTAATGGTACGTAGAACCTGTCCCTATTTTCAGGACCCTTGGCTCTGTGGTTCTAACTCGGCTGGGTAGGTACGAAAACGTGACGTCAGAACACTGTCGGTCATTGATTGGTCGGGGCGGAGTCACTGGATCTTTCAGAAACTTTTCAAAACACCGATGCACCATTTGCAATTTTCTCGGACCGGCTCAACAGCTGGACCCATTTTAAAGATTTTAAAAACAATAATGACAACACCTTGGTCTTATGCTGAAGTGCTGGCGTTTTTTGTGCTTGGTAGTCGACGACAAAATTCAGAGCGAGCTGGATGGAGCTCTGCTGGTCTACCCTGGTCCTCTCCCCCGGAGACTTAGAGCCAGGCAGGGCATCATCTTCACAGATCTGAGCTCCGCTGCTCACAGCGGAAGATCCTCCATGGTGCCGATTTGGGTCTCAGGGCTCCGGATCCCGGCCTTGTGTGCTCCGAGCTCCGCTGGTCACCGCGAAGGATCATACAAGCTGGTGACTCCTAGAAGGCCGTTGTCCAGACCCCGGCTTCGCTTCATCATGAAGGCTGAACCTCGATCCTGGCAGACAGCCGGACCGGGACAGGTCTGGGACGGACGGTGGAAGCGATTTAAAAAAATATATTTTTTTTAATACATAAAATGTTTTTAAAAAGGGCAGCATGGTGGAGCAACTGGTAGAGCCATCCGAAGTGCTGTTCAAAAATAAAAACAAACCAAAAACGTGTTTTTAAACGAGTTTTAAAATCAGAAAGTGGCGGGGCCTGCCTGACTTTCAGCGGCAGCTCATTCCACAGTTTAGGAGCCACAGCTGAAAAGGCTCTGCCTCCTCTGGAGTTGTAAAAGGTTTTCGGGACTGCTAAAAGCATCTGGTCAGAGGATCTGAGTATTTATTACATTTCTTTGCATGTTTTCTTGTGCTCAACAACATGTTTGCTTTTCTTTCCTATCATTGAGTTCCTATTGCGGTGCTCAGGTTCTGCCTTGCTCCTCTTGTGGCAGCAATGATCAAACCAGTCCATGACTAAACTGAAACTGAGACAGAAGCTCTTTATTTCCTCCTGAAAAGAGTATTTTCAAATTGAACTGAGACAAATAAAACAGGCAAACAGGTAGAGCAGTCAATACTAAGCAAAACCACTTTTCTGTGGGAAAATTACAATTTTGACTCGACCATTTTGACTTGGAGACAATGTGTTCGATAATGTGGCTGTACTCCTGTCTAACTCCCATTTCTTTTTAATTTGTCAGAGAGTGGAACAGTCAGGATCACCAGTGGGAATGTGACAGTCATGCAGGCCCAGCAGGTGGAGTTTCAGTGTGAAACAACTGCTTGGTTCCCGATACCTTCAGTCAGCTGGAACCTAAATGGTCAGGCTGTGGACAGCAGCTTTTACAACACCACCAGCATGGCTGATGGACATTTCTTCAACTCCACCAGTGTTCTGAAGATCAAGACAGCCAGCAGCACAAAAGTTGAATGCATGGCCACTCTTCCAACACTAAAAACCCCACAGTGCAGCTCTGTCTTCTTGGTGGTTGGTAAGAAAGGTTTCTCTAATGAATTTTATGTGTGCTGTCAATATACTCTTTTTTCTCACCACATTGTTGTCATCACTTGTCATCATGATCAAAAGCAGCCACTCGGGAGCACAAGCCAGTGTATCTCTTGTGCCGGTCTCGAGCCCGGGTAAATGGTGAGGTTTGTGTCAAGAAGGGCATCAGACATAAAACACTTTTTTTCCAAAACTATAATGCGAGTTCATCAAAGCAAAACCATACTGGATTGGTCGAGGTCCGGGTTACCAACGACCACCACAAGTGCTGTTGATAAACTGGGTGCCAGTGGAAATTGTGCTACTGTTAGTCGAAGACCACGAGGAGGGAAACGTGTCAGGAGACAGAGGGAGAAGAGGAAAGTGAAGAATGTAGAACTGAGGTTTGCAACTCTAAATGTGGGGACAAGGACAGGCAAAGGTAGAGAGCTGGCTGACATGATGCTGAGAAGGAAGGTAGATGTTTTATGTGTCCAAGAGACCAAGTGGAAGGGCAGCAAGGCTCGCAGCATTGGAGCAGGGTTCAAACTGTTTTACCATGGTGTGGATAGAAAGAGAGATGGAGTAGGGGTGGTCCTGAAGGAGGAGTTGATAAAGAATGTAGTAGAGGTGAAAAGAGTGGCATATAGGGTGATGTGTAACTGTAGAAGTTCTGATGCTAAATGTTGTCAGTGGTTATGCTCCACATTTGGATGTAATGTGGATGAGAAAGATAATTTTTAGAAGGATCTGGATGAAGTGATAGAGAGTATTCCCAGTGAGGAGAGAGAGGTGATGGGAGCAGACCTGAATGGACATGTTGGTGAAGGAAACAGAGGATGAGGAAGTGATGGGTAGGTTTGGTGTCAAGGAAAGAAACCAGGAAGGACAGATGGTGGTGGATTTCACCGAAAGAATGGAAATGGCTGTAGTCAACACCTGTTTCCAAAAGAGGGAGGAGCCTAGAGTGACCTATAAGAGTGGAGGAAGGAGTACGCAGGTCGGCTACATTCTGTGTAGAAGAGGAAACCTGAGGGAGATCGGAGACTGTAAGGTTGTGGCAGGGGAGAGCGTGGCCAGACAGCATCGGATGGTTGTGTGGAGAATGACTGTTGTTGTGAAGAAGAGAACCAGATTAAAATCAGAGAAGAAGAGCAAATGGTGGAAGTGATAAATTCAGAGAGGAGCTGTTAAAGGCTCTGGGTGGTAAGAAAGAGCTTCCAG